AGTTGTTTGTTTTTTAACATGGGACAGCAACTTTCCAGCTCTATGATGGGCTGTCTGTATATAATTGAGTCGGGCGATGGGGGTAGCCTAGTGGTTAAGGCGTCCACTTGTCACGCTGAAGACCCGGGTTCTGTTCCCCACATGGGTATAGTGTGTAAAGCCCATTTCTGGTGTCCCCCACTGTGATATTGCTGGAATATTGCTAAAAGCGGCGTAAAACTAACCTCACTCACTCATGTCTGGGTCTTTGCAACATATGTAGAATTAAGTGTTGTATAAAGTGCTATCATCTGAGCCTCCTCATTCTCATCTACAGACCATGAATTTTCATTCTTCTACTCGCTCACCTACTTACTTAACCACTCTCTGAACCACTCTCAAGGACTTATTCAATCACTCACTCACCCACTTACTTAACCACTCTCTGAACCACTCTCAAGGACTTATTCAATCACTCACTCGTCCAGCTACTCACTCACCACTTGCTCAACTGCCTGCACAACCACTCACTCCTCACTGGACCACTCACTGAATCGCTCACTCAACCTCTCACTCAACCTCTCACTCAACCTCTCACTCAACCACTCAATCAACCTCTCAATCAACCTCTTAATCAACCTCTCACTGAACCTCTCTCAACTCTCACGCCTCTACTCAACCTCTCAATCAACACTTAACTCAACCTCTCAATCAACCTCTCACTCAACCACTCAATCAACCTCTCAACCACTCACTCAACCACTCTCAATCAACCTCTCTCACTCAACCTCTCAATCAACCTCTCAATCAACCTCTCAATCAACCTCTCAATCAACCTCTCACTCAACCTCTCAATCAACCTCTCACTCAACCTCTCACTCAACCTCTCAATCAACCTCTCAATCAACCTCTCAATCAACCTCTCACTCAACCTCACTCAACCTCTCAATCAACCTCTCACTCAACCTCTCAATCAACCTCTCACTCAACCTCTCAATCAACCTCTCAATCAACCTCTCACTCCACCACTCAACCCTCTCAATCAACCTCTCACTCAACCTCTCAATCAACCTCTCAATCAACCTCAACCACTCAATCAACCTCTCACTCAACCTCTCACTCAACCTTTCACTCAACCACTCAATCAACCACTCATTCAAGCCCTCTCTCCACCCCTCTTACAACCACTCTTCCAACCACTCGCTCAACCTCTCACCAAACCACTCACTCAAGCCTCTGTCGAAAAACTCACTCAATCTCTATGTACCACAAACAACAACAACACAATTTACCATACTCATCTCCAGCCTTACAGGCCATGTCATGTTCAGCATAAGAAGCTGTAGACTTGCAGCATGCCAGTTCAAGGCTGTAACAACTCTCTTTGTCATGCTACGATAATCATAAACTTCAAGTCATCATAAAATATCAGCTGAAAGGTAAACAAAGTGTCATCTAAGCCTCTGATTCCAACTTCCAAGGACATCCAGTTAACCCCAACCAAGGGCACTTTACAGTGTGAAGTTGAAGGCCTTGCTAGATGCCTACAGTGTGTACAGACATGCTTGGACTGCTCTGGCCAGAATTGCCAGGGGACGTCCAGGTGTTAACACTGTTTGATTACTTTACAGGAGCTGTCACAGTGATGTATCCCTCTAATTTGGGACATTCATGTCCTAATTCAGCATAACTTGTTGTAAGATATGTTTAGGTGCCACATTCCTGACTAATGTCATGTTTGGGTCATAACTTAATGACAGAGGGGCAGTGGGGTAGCCTAGTGGTTAAAGCGTTTGCCCGTCACGCCGAAGACCCGGGTTTGAATCCCCACATGGGTACATTGTGTGAAGCTCATTTCTGGTGTCCCCCGCCGTGATGTTGCTGGAATATTGCTAGTTAAGTCGGCGTAAAACCAAACTCACTCACTCACTTAATGACAGAACACAAAGTGAAATAACATAACAACATACAGGTTAAAACTTTCTGTTAATTATAGTGCTGTATTCATCATTATCTGCACCCTAGGTGCTGAGGTAATTGACAAAGGACAGTAGGAGAGTGCTCACTAAATCATGTGACTGAACTTTGTTTTGAGCAATAAAGTTGTAAACAAACTTGCTTCAAATATCGATGAAACCAAAATGCCAGTTATAGACACTATGCTATTACCAGAGTATATCTGTGTGCTTTGCATTTTCTATAACACAAAAAAAATATGATCTGTCGTGTAAGATTGATTCTGCTTAAACTATTTGTACCGGTAGGTGGTGCTTATTGGAGCAATGGTGTATAGTTGTAGTTTCAAATTAGTTTTATTGTGAAAGATTTCTCTAAATACGGAACAACTAATAAAATATTTTGGTGATGGTGGTGGTTGATGATGATGATGATGATGATGATGATGTGTGTACTTCTCTTATGGTTGAAGCATGTTGTAACTAGGGGTGGGTATTGCAGCAAATTTTCATATTGCGATATATTGAGATGCGAAAGCATATATTGCGATATGTATTGCAATATATTCCTAGAAGTTTTTTTTAACAGTAAACTACTTATAAATGAGTTAACGATTTATTTATAAAGCAAAAACACAACAAAATCACTATGCTTGATTAAGCTTTAATAAACACGTTTAATCATGACAAAATAAGAACATAAATAATATTTGGCACAAATGAAACAAGGAAAAGAATAATTTAACATCAACAGAGTGGTTACTAGTTTGAACTACTTTCTCCACTCTCAAAAAAAAGCCCTGAGATTTTAGACAGCAACTTGACCTGGTCAGGACATATCAGGGATCATTGGTCATTAATGAGTAAATATTTAAAACAATCTGAATCAAAACATTGCCAAACACTTGAACAAAAATTTAAAAAAACACTTCAAACCGAATTTAACAATAAAGTTAAATGTAAAATCTTTGAAGGGCATGTAGAAGTGGAATGCATAAGAAAAGCAAGATTTATGTATGTCAACTTCATTCAAAAGATAGAAGTTGACATCCATAAATCTTGCTTTTCTCAGTTAAATGTCATTTTCACCACGATCATTCCCACCACCATTACCACAGTTGCCATAATCATCAAGGTTTCCGAGTGTAACAAAGGTTTCCAAATGCATCTCAAAATACCGGTTTTCAATCAGCGTATCACAATACGTATCGTTTTCACGTCTGAACCAGTTAATACCGGTAAACTGGTTATATTGCGCAGCCCTAGTTGTAACATAGGAAAACGTGGAAAAGCAGTGACATATATACTTGGGTTGCGAATATCCAAGAAACTTTTACTTGTCCTTATGACTATGAATGTAAATTGACAAAGTCTGTTTGTTGCAAGTTAAGGTTACTTTTTGAAGCTTTGTGAAGCATGCTATGACAATCTGGCAAGTAACAGACATATGATGACCAATTGAAAATGCTGAGTATGTCGACAAAGAGATGTAAAATTTCTGATCTTTGGAAATTATAATTTAATTTCTGGTAAATTTGTCAGTCTTACACACTAAGACAAGAGGTTAGGGTAGGTTGTTGGAGTTGTAATTTAGGGTATGTTGTTGGAGACAGGAAGGTTGACATGTCTGTTGTTGGAGACAGGAAGATTGACATGTCTGTTGTTGGAGACAGGAAGGTTGACATGTCTGTTGTTGGAGACAGGAAGGTTGACATGTCTGTTGTTGGAGACAGGAGAAAGTTGACATTGACAGGAAGTCTGTTGTTGTTGGAGACAGGAAGGTTGACATGTCTGTTGTTGGAGACAGGAAGGTTGACATGTCTGTTGTTGGAGACAGGAAGGTTGACATGTCTGTTGTTGGAGACAGGAAGGTTGACATGTCTGTTGTTGGAGACAGGAAGGTTGACATGTCTGTTGTTGGAGACAGGAAGGTTGACATGTCTGTTGGAGACAGGAAGGTTGACAAGTCTGTTGTTGGAGACAGGAAGGTTGACATGTCTGTTGTTGGAGACAGGAAGGTTGACATGTCTGTTGTTGGAGACAGGAAGGTTGACATGTCTGTTGTTGGAGACAGGAAGGTTGACATGTCTGTTGTTGGAGACAGGAAGGTTGACATGTCTGTTGTAGGAGACAGGAAGGTTGACAAGTCTGTTGTTGGAGACAGGAAGGTTGACATGTCTGTTGGTCGGGTCTGTATTAAGGGGGTGTTGGAGATCATGAGATTGACAAGTCTGTTGGTCGGGTTGGGATTTTGTCAGAGCTCAGAAGACCAGTGAAGCTGATTTATGCGTCCGTTGATACTCACTTAAGGCATATTTATTTGCGACTAACAGGATCAGGTGGTCAGGCTCGCTGACTTGGTTGACTCATGTCATCCTATTCCAATTTTGTTGAATGATGCTCATGATGCTGATCACTTGATCGTCCGGTCCAGACTCATTGATTATCAGACCGCTGCCATAGAGCTGGAATATTGCTGAGTGCAGTGCTAAACAACACACAAACAAACAAACAAACAACACAAAACAAACAAAAACAAAAACAAACATCACACAAACAAACAAACACAACCTTACAAACAAACATATTCAAACAAACAAACAACACACAAAAAAAACAACGAACAAACAACACACAAACAACACAAACAAACAAATCAACAACACAAACAAACAAAACAACACACAAACAACACAAACAAACAAACAACAAACAAACAACACAACAACAAAACAAACAACACACAAACAAACAAACAAACAACACACAAACAAACAAACCTTACAGTGACATATTCTGTTCAAATCATAGTTTTAAATTAAATTTTAGTTTTAGAACAGTTTTGAATAACAGTGCTTCTAGCATCTATGCTCAAGTGTCTGTTGATGCTGGCACTTTACACGTGTGACTTCATATATAAGTGAGCTGCAGTACCTGGTCACTGTTTTGGTTGTTTTTCATTCTTTCATTTTTTACAGCTTGCTCCAGGATTCCAACTCCACTTTTTCTAATGAAATACAAGCAAATTTTAATCATGTTCAATGTTTACATTTTGTTCCTCTACAGAGAGAACCCGGTCAAGTTGTTTGAAGTGTTTGTGGAGGTGGCCAAACCTGAACCTGGGCAGGGTGAGTTTCTTTATATATATATTTTTTATGTTATCATTGTTATAGCTTGTTGCAGTCTAAGTAAACTTAGGCTCAGTATTATTCGTGACATTGCTATACTGAGTCTAACAAACCTTAGTAGAAGGTCGCGTCAGCTAACCTTTTGACTGACCAATCAGAACTCAGCTTACCAAATTGCGTAAGGTTATTATTCGCACATACCGTTTGAACCTTTACCTCCAAAACTTGAACTATTCCGAATGCTATTTTCAGCACGATCCTTTCCGAGTGATACACATGGAGGACGCAAGGAGTAAACAGTCGCTGAAAATACCATTTTTTGTCAATATTCAAGGATGTCATCTTGCGAAAATAAGAGCTAATAGTAACCATGTCATTAGAAACCACTGTAAGGATATATATACCGCAGGTCAAATATCTGTGTTTTATGCGACCAGGGAAGAGATAATTCAAAAATGTTTTGTAAGTCCCCCAAACCCTAACAAGTAGTTGTTGTCTGATTGGTTAAATCGGTTTGTACTTCTTGCGTTTGATTGGACAGTCATAGGTCGCTCAAAGGTTAGATGACGTGACCTTCTACTAGGGTTTGTTAGACTCAGTATAGCAGTGTAACGAATAATACTGAGCCTAATTTTACTTAGACTGTAGCTTGTTGTGGAAGTGTAAACTACAATCTGTTTGGATGAAAACTAGAAATCTTTCAGCTTACGCAGTGGGCTTATGAATACCTATATAAACTAAACTAAACATGCAATTTGACTGGGCAAAATTAATGTCCCATTGAGGGTCATGACTTTTTATTAATATTTAACAGAAGATCATGATTTTTCATTAATATTTAACTGCTTTTCATCAGTACTCGTTGCATTCCATCAGCTGATCAGTAATCAGTATTCCAACAGTAACCATTGCATCCAACAATAGTCACGCCTTTTCATTTTTCAGATGCATTCATCCTGCAGAAGTATCCTCTACAATACGATGATGAGGTGAGAGAATCAATATATTTAGTTCCCCTGACTAAGTGAAGTTATTTTGCATACAAATATTAAGTTGCCATTGAAGGTTACTTTGTCAGAGAAAGGGCAGTGCATTTAACAGATTGGGAACTATATTTATGATCATGATAGAATTTTGTTGACAATTATTATCAATATGTCTATATTGAAATAATGAATGGTCCTTTGATTTGATGGTAATGATGTCATGTGACCATGCTCTACTCAACATTTGGTAAGGACTGTACATGGTCCTCATTGAGTATATATACATTCAGTGTTAATGAAAACACTGTGCCAACTATCTCAGTGGCTTTTGTACTTCACAAGTAACAGATAAATAGAGGCTTGAGCTGCTTCTTTAAAGAACTGAATTGTAGAAGGTTTTAATTTTGAAAGTTAAAATCTATATTCTCATATGAAGAACATCCTTCATAGAGACAGTTTTCACCATTTTGACCGGCCTCTCATGTCGTATTGTATCACACAGATCTGCTTGAAATTATTTTGGGTCTACAACAGGCCTTTCACTTTCAGATAACACACAGTGAATGTGTAATTGAGTATTTATTCCCCTTGGTAAATTCTTCTGTTAGAATAATAAACCTGGGTTACTGCTTCCTTCGAATATGTAATATAGATGATTTGTTCCACAACTTGCAGGGGAATTATAGACCAGGTATATAGTTTTCCAACCAGCACGCATTTACAGTGGAATGAATTATCCCTTACAAATCTGCCACAGAATAGGTCTGGCATAAGCAGAGACAAAACAAGGATTGGATGGTTGCCATGGTTTCCACTATGTCTCCAGACTGGTTATGGCTCAAATGTTACATTTGTGATTATAATTTCTAAGTAACATTCAAGTTACAGTGCTTTTTGGGGTTGAGTCCTATCTTGGATTCAAGTCCAAACTCTAAGAATGAAGCCACCAGCGCATAAAGTTAGCAATCTAGCCCATTCATCCACCACAGCTTCCGCAAAAATTCAAATTAGACAGAAGGGTAGTCTAAATCATATGCGGGTACTTTATGAACCCCTGTGACAAGGGTAAATCTGCACGTCTTCTATGGCCAATAGCTATGAATACACAATATCTTTTAGAAAGTGGTCAAATGTAACAATCGTTATGGTCGGGACCATACTTTCTCATTAAAGTACAGCTATGTAATTATATATATGTATATGGATGTATGTTTTGTAGGCTATGGCTAAAAATGGTATATGTTTTATCCCGTTTTACTGTAAATCAATTTATAAATTTTATTCGACTAACGGTGTCAGGTGGTCAGACTCGCTGACTTGGTTGACACATGGTATCGGTTCCCAATTGCACAGACCGATGCTCATGCTGTTGATCACTGGATTGTCTTGTCCAGACTCGATTATTTACAGACCGCCACCATATAGCTGGAATATTGCTGAGTGCGGCGTAAAACTAAACTCACTCACTCACTTATAATTTTATTATTAGTTGTTGGTTTTAGCATTATATCCTGAGTTAATACATTTTTATATACATGTAAATCATCTTTGCAGTGATTAAAGCATTCAGTCTAATAGTCAGAGGTACAGATATGCTGCGTATCTGCGTAAATTACGCAAAAAGTTATGTGAAAACTCAATACTTATTAAGTCTATTGCTAACAAGTATGCATGAATTTTTGTAAATGCTCAATATATTAGATCTTACATGCGTACACACAAAAATGTCAAATCATAGCTTGTGTACAGGTGCGTAGATAAACTAACTGAGGTATATTGAGGGGTTCCATTTCAACACATGAACAAGGTGACTTGCAGTCTTTCTTATCGTTTCTGATATTACAGATCAAATATAAATAACATTTAAACCTTATAATAGTTTTACAATTAATGGAAAATGACAAAATACCCAATTGAGTTTGAGTGGGGCAGGTACAAATTATTTGGTTACTCAAAGGAAAATTAGGATACCCTATTTAGATGGACACAAACTAGTGCATAACTCAATGATCCAAAACGTTATCTGTAGCTCTGAATAGTGCAAAACAAGCAGAAGCAATTGTGTTGTCAGCTGATGAGGAAAAGGTAGTCAGCTGGTTTGCATATTTGTTTAGGGTTTATGAAAACTTGGCTTGATGGGCAATTAAATGCAGCAGAATTTATATGCAATTTGTTAATGTTGTGAATCACCTGTTTGCCGTGCCCCAGTTTGTTTGCCATTTATTATTAACAGGCTGCCATGAAATAGGTGGATTAGCTCAAACAAAACACATTCTCCTGACTGAACATGGTGAAGCTTTCTGCTTCAGTTGAATCAGGAAGTGATGTGTGATGGTTGAAATGAAAACTGTATTCCTGTTACATGGTTTCTGAGTGATTTTGAAGTGTTGTCGTATTTAATTGTGAATATTTTATGGTCAGAGCTTGTCAGATCACTATCTGTGATAGAGGATCAGTATTTGGATTTGACTACTTGTCGGAACTATTTGGTTCACGTGTTGTAAAAAATGATGTTACATTTGTTCTAAAAGCAAACAATTATATTTTCATGAACACAATGCCATTTAGAAAGTGGTCAAATGGAACACCTGATATATTTGGGATTACACTTTCTCGGTTAATTACAGATTCTAGTACTTTTATGACCCATGAAGGTCCGGGTTAGAATTGGTCTTCAGTATCCCATGCTTGTCGTAAGAGGCGACTAACGGGATCGGCTGGTCAGCCTCGCTGACTTGATTGACACATGTCATCGGTTCCCAATTACGCAGATCAGTGCTCATGCTGTTGATCACTGGATTGTCTGGTCCAGACGTTATTTACAGACCGCCACCATATAGCTGGAATATTGCTGAGTGCGGCCTAAAACTAAACTCACTCACTAGTACTTTTATTGGGTTGAGTTCCATCTGGGATTTGAATCCACACCCTCAGAGTCAGGCACCTAATCGCCAGCAAAGTCAGCAACCCACTCCAACACTGCAGCTGACTGTACTTTACTGACAAAGTGTAATCCTAGACATAACAAGGGTTAAATTATATATTCAATCATCATAATAAATATTTTTACCTGTTTTCAGGAAGTACTTAAGACAATACCAAGGTTTGTCTACCCTTGTGAGATGGACTGGTGAGTTAGTCTTATTTTGTTTCTTCTTTCCTTTCATCTAAGATAATTTGCTCGTTTCAAATTGAAAATAGGAGATATTCAGTGTTTTACCTCAGTGGACACCCAATTATTAGCTTTAAGGGTCCTTGCAGGCAATATGTGGGTCCTGTGAAATGACAAGCTAGAGAACTGTCCGTTTTGATAATTTCTTCAGAGTAGAATGAATCATTGATCATGTGGTGTGTTGGAATTGGTTAAATTCTCATAATTGAGAGCCGAAGGTGGTTCGATCCCCCGACACCCATACCAAAAAAGACGCTAAAATATGGTACTTGTTGGTCCCTGCCTGGCGTTAATGCATTCATGGGTACAACATGGACTTATCGGCTCGGGGAGTCAGTATAATGTGTCTGGAGTGGGGTATTCATGCTTCACTGGTGTCTTTAAGATATGGTATCTCAGTGGGCTAGCACTATAATGCCAGCTTAAGTCTGGGCTAGTAAAGCAGCCACACATACACATATATTGTTGATGCAAACAAGCGTTCCATATTGTTTGTGTTCGATATTCTCAAGCACGACGTTAAACCTAATTTCACCTCACCTCAGAGTAGAATGAATCATTGATCATGTGGACTGAGGGATTAATTGATGCTCGTGACTGCTCTGAAAGGAAAAATGAACACACAGCAAAGTCAGATGTGTTGTGATTACAGTGAATTCTGTGTCTATTCTCTACATTTGTGCGATATGTAAAACCCTGAGATATTGATTTTACACCATGTACTCTTAAACATGTAATTTAGAAAAACAGTATGTTCATCTCCTAATTGAAAATACGAAAAAGTTGAAATCCCTGAGTTCATTATTCATTAAAATTTGATTTTTTATCTTTGAATTGACTCATTCTGGCCTTTAACAGATATTTACTTTAGCGAGTTAGCTTGTATCATTTTGTAAGAACTGTTGACACATCGGATGGAATGGCTCACCATTTCAGCTCCAACGTAGATCACTTCACGTTTGTGTTGACGGACCAGGACAGTCAGTATAGATTTGGTTTCTGTCGCCATGCAACCGGTGCACAGACCTGTCTGTGTGTTATCAGGTAACACATTACTCACGATTCTTGCCGTGTTGGAAACGACCATGAATTTTGTAACTAATTCCAATCTCAAATAAAAAAAAAAATTTTTTTGGTTTTTTTTCAGTTTGAAAATGGAATGTTGAAGTCTGTTAACAGTATCAATGAAAACAGTTTTTTTCCCACCCGTCTTAATTCAGTAACAATAACCTTTGAGTTAACTGAGACCCGTGAAGATCTGGGTTGGAATTGATCTTCAGTAACCCATGCTTGTCATAAGAGGTGACAAACAGGATCGGGTGGTCAGGCTCGCTGACTTGGTTGAAACATGTCCTAATTTGATTGATGCTCATGCTGTTGATCACTGGATTGTCTGGTCCAGACTCAATTATTTACAGACCCCCGTCATAAACCGTAGCTGGAATATTGCTGAGTGGAGACTAAAACTATCTCCCCTTAATGATCTTTTGCCTTTCAACCCAATTATGAATAAATTCATAATAGATTTAAAGGATAGACTTCATTTTGGGGTACTGCCTTGAACGATAAAAGGTCATAAATTTGCCTCGCCTCACCTCTTTACTCCATCATCCTTGTTTGAATGTTCCATTTAAATAATGAATTCCTTCCTTTTTTCAGTTTCTTGCCATGGTTTGAAGTGTTTTACAAGCTGCTAAATATGGTAGCGGAACTGCTCAACCGGACAGATGACAACAGCCTGACGCCGCTGCTGGAGAACACGTTCAACCATGAGATTCCCATGCCAGGGGTGCCGGTCACCATCCTTGCCCAACAGGAGGTAGGCTTCAGGTCCAGATAATGTAACCCACTGAGGCTTTTACTCACATTTTATCACACACTGTGGATAATTGATCATTTTGGGTCAAACATCAAGAAATAACAAATAACAGACATGATGAACTGTTTGTTGGGTGCAAGACACCTGAAAATGAAGTAAGAATCAGGGCTCCTTTCCATTATTATGGGACTCTCTATTATCGCTGGGTTCTCTATTATCGCTGCACGCGAAAACATCGGAAAAGCAGAAACACCACGCCCCGCATTGGCTGTTTATATATGCAAATTACGTAAAATATATTCATCGCTCTTGAAAAAGTTATTTATTTCATTGGAATGTCATGTCTAATCGTAGAAATATCAAAGCATTCATCTTTTCAGTAAGTTCTAGAACATTTTGAAACTAGTATGACCCCTACTGACATTACATCTAGCATTAATCAAAACTTACTTCGTCAAGAGTAATCCTGCGACAACTATAAGGTCATTTGCATATTTTCCGTGCTAAAAATATAACAGGAAGTGACGTATTATGCAACTTCACTCTACACACGGCAGCAACTGGTATGGTACGTTTTAAGGCGGAAAAACAATATTTTGTAACGTTATTGTTACCTTGTATCCAAATGAATAGAAGTTTCAGATGTTTGGGTTAAAAACATGATGATATTACTAATGTGAATGAAATTCCTAAATATGTTTTAATGATCAAACTATTTAGATTCGTTACTTGTCTTAGTAAACGTTTCACAGTGTCATCTGCTTGTACCGCGTGCCATAGTAAGAAAATAGCAATACCGCGATAATAGAGAGTTGCTTCAATATCCGGGTCAAACAAGAAAATTGGAATTGCCAGAATGGTATTAAACGAGTTGTGACTATGTGTCACATTATTTGTGACAGAAATGAAGATTAAACATCAGTCAACTGAAAATATATAGAAAATGCTACATGTCAGTAGCCGTTCATAATCCTGATGGCGACAACATTAACTACCGCGATAATAGAGGGTCCCATGATATATGTTATTTTTATAATTTAAGAAAAAAAATTTCTGTAAAATATTTCAGAGACTAGATGTTAGTCTACTGTTTATATTGCCTTATGTGTTGTCTGTTTCAGATGTTCAGCTTCACAAGTCCAGATCTCTCCCAACTACCCAATATTCCTTCTAGTGTAAGTGGCTGCCATGATTGTTGTAACATTCAGGAAGTTTGATGGGAGTGGTCTCCCTTTAGATAATACTGTCTAACAACTATTCCCCATTCAATAAAATAATAAGTTGTGAATTTCTGCTAAAGTTATAACAGTTACCTTTTAAAACGGCCATTCCGGCTCATTTCATCAAGTGAATTATCGATGTTCTGATGTGACTTGTAATGCAATGGTCTCCGAACCTAGTGTAGAGGTAGTAAACACTAAGATCTGATTCTATTAACGATGTATCACTATTAACAGCTTGTGTTGAGTCATCTATGTGCCTCTATCTGATCATAGTATCCCTGAACCCCCACCCCCCCACCCAACCCGATCCGCCAATGGTCAGTACATAATGCTATTCTCTTCTGTTTTCAGCGTAATTTAACTGAATACTACAATGCAATAGACACAAACAATATGATGGTCATTTTTGCCAGGTGAGTCCCATTTATTAAGGTATCTTAATGTTCACTGAAACGTAAGTTTCCTCACATACTATTGCTGAATATTAACCATATGTATTCCATTATTATTGTAAATGTCTAAAAAAAGACATCCAGGTTAGAACTGGTTTTCAGCAATCCATGCTTGTTGTAAGATGTAATTAATAGGATTGGGTGGTCAGGGTTGCTGACTTTATTGACACCATAGTAACCCAATTGCATACGTCAATGCTCATGATGTTGGTCACTGGATTGCCTGGTGCAGACTCGATTATTTACAGACAGCCACCATATAGCTGGAATATTGCTGAGTGCGGCTTAAACTACAGACAAACAAACGAGTATAATAACCTGGAGTGCTAAGCTGGTGTCCTGGGGTCCCTCAGGTCTTCCTTATGCAGACAATTTCATTTATAATGAACAGTGGCGGTGGTAGCCGAATGGTTAAAGCGTTCGCTTGTCACACCGAAGTCCCGGGGTTCGATTCCCGACATGGGTACAGTTATAACAAACTTAAATTTGTGGTCCATTTGAGTTTGTTTAACTGTAGATTACAGTAATTTGATTCAGGAACCCTGTCAGTCGTAAACTTTAGCTCTGTCGTTATGACAAGGATCTGTTTCTTGCAAAATGTCAAACACAGGGTGGCACAACTATAATGAATCTTCAAATACAAGTACCAGTAGATTTTGCAGAATACAGCCGAACATATCCAGATATATTGGGTTTGGATAAACGGGTTTCCGTTGTCTGCATTTATGTATCTATGTATACAACAAGGTGACATTGTTGATTATTTCAGTATGCTCAATGAAAGGCGGTTGTTGTTTACATCGAAGAAACTGAGTCGGCTGACGGCGTGTATCCATGGAGCAGAGTCTCTCCTTTATCCTATGCATTGGTAAGACTTCGCAGAAGTATGAGATATGCATCATCTCTGAAAGCGCATGTTAAATCTCCACATCATCATCGACTTTGCAGACATTTTTGATAGTTTTAGATGTACAGATCTACTGACAGTGTTATAAGGGTGTGTCTCTCGGAAGGTGCAATAAACTTTGATTAATACATTCTTTATTACCTTAAACTATCTTAACACAGTTAAACATAGGAACAAAAACATATCAGAGATTTAAAAAATGATTGGCTTTAATGCATCCTCAGACAACCAGAATAATGCTTATTTTTAAATTTATCCTATCTCACGACTTGCACCTCTCTCTTGCTTAGACTTTAAGTGGAATGACTGTAAACTTTTTGCCATAGGCCTCCTTGTCCATTCGCCCGTGCACTCCATGCTGCTCTCCTTAATTAGCTTCCTAGTTCCTAATAAAGCTTGCAGCATGCTCAACTAATTGCCCACGTGACTACCTTGAATGATCATTCTCTTTCTTGTCGCACAACTGTGTGGACGTGCTGTATATTAGGGACATTATTTCACCCTGACATCATGGAGAAAGCTGATAATCAGTCAAGGAAAAGGAAAGTTTGTGCTCAATGCAAGACGAATTATTCGTCCCTCGACCCTCACTCGTCTTGCAGTGACTGTATTGGACAATGTAACTGGAACAAACGATGTGGCAAGTGTAATTCACTAAAAGATGAGGATTTTAAGGCCTACCTTCGTGTTTGCTCCCGGGAGAATCGCCGATAGGGACAGGAAATCAACAGAATCTGATCCCACTCCCGTCAAGCGTATCAAGTTACAGCGACAGAAAATCGTACTTTCACGCAATAGAGCGACGTCTGTGGTTCAAGAGGATTTAATGGACGCTTCATCAGATTCTTACTTATCTGAGGACGTTCGGCACCTATAACGTACTCATCAGTCACCTCCTTCCATAGCGTCAGATCACTCGCGAGTGGTTGTGATCAATAATTCATCGTTGCCTGTCCCATCTACACTACCAGGGGACCTTAGATCGACACTATCATCATCCAGATCATCGGTACATATCCCCCGATCAAGATCACCGGATCGATCCAGATCACAGTCACGATCCAGAGCACAACTATGATCCACATCACCTGATCAATCCAGATCACCTAACCGATCCAGATCATCAAACGGGTCCACATCACAACTTCGAATCAGATCACCGGACAGATCCAGATAACGAACCGATCCAGATCACAACATCGAAGTAGATCATCGGACCAATCCAGATCACCTAATCGATCCAGATCACCGAATGGATCCAGATCACAACTTCGAATCAGATCACCGGACCGATCCAGATCACCGAATGGATCCAGATCACAACCTCGAATCAGATCTTCGGACCGATCTAGGTCACCTAACCGATCCAAATCACAACATCGAAGTAGATCGCCAGACCGATCCAGATCACCGAACCGATCCAGATCACAACATCAAAGTAGATTACCTAACCGATCCAGATCACCAAATCAAGCCAGATCGCAACTGCAAACCATATCACCTGTTCGATCCAGATCACCTTATAGATCCAGATCACGATCACAGTTGCCAGTTAGTGCATCGAATCGATCCAGAACACTTTACAAATCCAGATCATCTTACCAACATACGATCTAGATCACCTTACAGAGCCATTGACCAATCGGGATCACAGTACAGATCCACATCTCATGGTCGATCCTATTCAGATGGTCGAACCAGAGCTCCAATCAGAACCAGATCACCAACTAGGAACTACAGCGACCCGGATTAGTTCTTCATATCATACCGGATCACCTAGCCATACTAGGGAATCCAGATCACCGGCTTACCAACCTACTTCGGTACTTACCACGTCGAGATCTTGATACAGTTCCTCTGACCGACGTTCGGGTGATCATTGCTCTGATACCACTAATAGTCTCTTATGATGTTCCGTCTACATGCTCTGAGAATCCTTCGACTTACTCTAGGATCATCGCTGAGTCATGGGAACCTGATAACAATCCCACTCCTACAGCGACTCCGGATCTAAATATGATGATCAGGGCCATAACCTCAGCCTGGAACCAAATACAGCCTTCTACTCCAGCCCATCCGGCTTTTCGGTAGCTCCTGGCTTTTCATCTGGTCCACCTCCTGAGATTGATCCAGTCCAAATAGCCATGCCTGCATCTCTGCTCACTCTGAGTTATCTACCCCTGGGGGTAGCTTTGCAGCAGTTGAGACACCTCAGGTACACCTTTGGATTGTTGAAAAGCTCAAACTTCCCTTGAGTACTTCAGCAGATGACCTGGATCACTCTTATACTCTTAGGAACCGGGATTGGTCTACCATCACCCTACCACCTTGACCTTGTATTCTGAAATTATCCAGTACAGTAAATGATGGTTTCAAGAGCCTGAAACGAATTAAGGACGGATTCTCTGCTCCCAGATATAATCCTTCTACCTCTCATATCCACCGCCTAACAAAAATCTCTACGGCTCCAACAGTTGATGAGGATATTGGAACCCTGTGTGGCAAACGAGCTGCTTCGCCCTACCTTATTGAGGACCGAGAGTTGGCTCACATGGATTCAGCCGTGAGAAAGACGTTGCCATCTATTAGTTGCGTGATTGCAGCAGTCGATGCTGTTAACACTGCTCTGGAGCATACTTACTCTGATCAAGACGCTTACATCCGAGGGTGCATGACTTTAGCCCTGGACCAGTTCCAAATTATCCTGGATCAGTTGTCTCATTTTTGGGGCTACACTCTTGCTGTTCGCCGACGTGGACTCCTTAACATCTGTTCTCTGCCACTCAAGGTTGTGGCAGAGGAAACAGATCTGCCATGGTGGACAAGTGACATTCAAGACATAATTCCTGGTAGCTTTGGCTACCGCTGCTCGTATATCTGAACTGCATGCGCTTGATGTCAATCGGGTGCGTTTCGAGTGGAAGAAGCATGGCAAGGCTTTCCTGGGTCTCCGCTGGGACTTCATTGCTAAAAACCAACTGCCAGGGCAACTGGACCGGGATGTTTACCATTCCCCTGTTGTCCACCATTCTTGGGCCTGATGATAATGAAGATTTGACACTCTGCCCTGTTAGGGCTCTACACGTTTACCTTGCTGCCTCAAAGGATCGTCGACGGCTACGGAAGTGCCTCTTCATACCCTTGTCGACCACTGCAAGAACTGAGGTTTCACGGACTACATTGGCCTTCTGGATGCGAGCCACGATCCAGCGAGCCTACGCCTTGCAGGGTTGCCTCCTCCAGCCGCTTCCAATCCTCATGAGACTCGTGCACTAGCCTCGACGATGTCCCTCCATAGTAACTGCTCCTTGACCGCTATCATGGAAGGTTGCTTCTGGCGTTCTGATACAGTCTTCTCTTCACATTACCTGCGAGACCTGTCTGTCACGGATGTCCAGGGACTACACCAGTTCGGACCTCTTGTACTGGCTCAGCAGCTTACATCGGCCCACAACGCAGATGAGGGACGGTTCTGCATTCGCGTTACTACTTCTTTGTATATACTGAATAGATCTCAACCTTTTGTTCTCATTATATGGGTTTAAGAACTACTTCACTTGGCCTCCATACCAAGGCATCGGAATACGGCCACCTAGCGTGGCCCTACGGACCTGAGGCACAATCAGTATGACGATGCAGAGGTGTTCAACATTCACACTTACTGACCTCTACTCCACGGAGCAATTACATCAGTGAAATGTGACACTCCCGACTTCCAGTGGATTTCGTTGCGTTCTGCCTCCAAAGTTGCCAGGCACATCCTTTGACTAAGCTTAGGCAAAGGAGTGAAGGCCAATTTGATGCTGCCCGGAACTGAACAGTTAACCCTGGAGATGCCGAGTTGTGTTTCTCTTTCACCTGCCTCGGTCGGTGTCTGGGGGGCCTTCTTGAAGCAGGGGCTGGCCCGATTCTAGTGGCAAGACTTTAATTACGGGGGTACCTTGTAAATCGTGGCGAGGCGAGGCTTACTTGCCGAGTTGCGTCCCTTGTCTTGTACAAGGTTGCGGCCGAACACCACATCGCTCGGAAGCACCCATCTCCCTGGGAATCGTTGTGCTTAGTAAGCCAAGGGGTTCTGGAGAACCCACTACAAGCATAGGAGTTGCTTGCATGCGTAACAGGCCTCCCTTGTACATCGCTATCTACGGTTGTCATCAGTCCACAAAGCTCCAAGACCAGCTGTTTGCACTGTCCAGACAGAAGGGTAATCTGCGGCCCTGCCGTCCAACCGTGGGATAAGTCCAAGTCGTGAGTTAGGATAAGTTTAAAACTTTGGAAATTTTAATATAAATTGTATATTTATATACTTATCCTATCTCACGAGATGGATGCCCGCCCGGCCTCCCCACTACTCAGATTACAACGTTGGCTCCAGATGAGAATGATCATTCAAGGTAGTCACGTGGGCAATTAGTGGAGCATGCTGCAAGCTTTATTAGGAACTAGGAAGCTAATTAAGGAGAGCAGCATGGAGTGCACGGACGAATGGACAAGGAGGCCTATGGAAAAAAGTTTACAGTCATTCCACTAAAAGTCGAAGCAAGAGAGAGAGGTGCAAGTCGTGAGATAGGATAAGTATATAAATATACAATTTATGTTAAAATTTCCAATTTTCTCCATCTTGAAAATAATTTATCAATCTATTGTACCGTGGGTGTTTTAGGTTCACTCAACTGATCTCTTCTGTGGTAATAGATTTCAGTATTTAAGATCAGTTATTTGTGGAATTACTGAAACAAATCATACCAGCTTGGGTCTGATGCCGAAGTTGAAGTTTAAAGGAAACATGCTTGAATGTGCAGTTGTTGTTCAAACAAATAGTACTATATTTACAGTTTAAATTAGATTTCAATGTTGACATTGAGGAAATGTTTATGAAAACTGATGTCAGCAGTCTACATTTTTCTTGTTATTTTTGAAAGAACTGATTTTGTTTCAGATACGAAACAATGAACAATGCT